AATGCCTTTATTTTCATATACTAGTCATTATTCCACCCTTCCTTAAAGTATATCTTTTCTATTTTACCTCTAGAAAGTTACCAGATGAAAGTCTGCCTATGATAAATCTAGGGAGTTATATGTATTTATTTTTTTGAGACAGAGTCTCACTTCGTCGCCCAGGCTAGAGTGCCGTGGTGTCAGCCTAGCTCACAGCAACCTCACACTCCTGGGCTCAAGCGATCCTCCTGCCTCAGCCTCCCGAGTAGCTGGGACTACAGCACGGCCACCATGCCCGCTCATTTTTTTCTATGTATTTTTAGTTGGCCAATTAATTTATAGTAGAACGGGGTCTTGCTCTGCTCAGGCTGGTCTCCAACTCCTGATCTTGAGCAATCCTCCCACATCAGCCTCCCAGAGTGCTAGGATTGCAGGCGGAGCCACCATGCCCTGTCTCTAGAGTTTTTATTACTAATATTCTACTCCATAATCCCCAAATCTGGATGACTTGAAGTCTCCTCTGCAGTAAAATTAATCATAACATAGCTGCCCTTTTTCAGTATATTTATTGAGTGATGACTATATTTATCATCACCTATATTAACAGTGATCCTCCACTGGCAATTTTACCACCTCCATTGTACGTTGGGGAAACTGAGGATAAAGACCAGAAATTTGCTCAAGGTCATACAGCTGAGGAGTGACCCTGAGGGTCCCCAGGTACCCTCAGTGACCAACGTATCCACGCACGACCTCGTCTAACCTTCACTTCACGTTGGGAAGGTGAGGATTCCCATTCCCATTTTACAGTGAGAAAATTGGGCTTAAAGAAATTAATCAACACTCCAAGTTACGCCGTGACTAAAGCACTCAGAGAGTCTCATATTTTAATCTCTTTTACCCTTGTTTTTTGGCTGACACGTGTGGCTCACGCCTGTCATCCTAGCACCTCTGGGAGCCGAGGTGGGAGGATCGCTCGAGGTCAGGAGTTAGAAACCAGCCTGAGCAAGAGCGAGACCCGTCTCTACTAAAAATAGAAGAAATTAATTGGCAACTAATACTATATGATATATATATATGTAATATATATTAATATATATATATATCATATATAAGAGAGAGAGAGAGAGAGAGAGAAGAAATTAGCTGAGGATGGTGGCACATGCCTGTAGTCCCAGCTACTCGGGAGGCTGAGCAGGAGGATCGCTCGAGCCAGGAGTTGAGGTTGCTGTGAGCGAGGCTGACACCACGGCACTTACTCTAGCCTGGCTAGAGTGAGAGGCTGTCTCAGAAAAACAACAACAACAATAAACCTTGTTTTGCTCGGTCCAGCCTTAGTGAGGGCAATGGCTGCAAGTCATTTGATAGCCAAGAAAGTGAAAACATAGTAAATAAAACAGCAAAGTTGTCTCCTAGGGACAAGATCTGTTCCCGCTCCCGCTGGAGCTGGCTCCTCGCAGTGGAGACCGCCACCTCGTGTCCCAGCTCAGGAAGCCCCCTTGCCCCCGCGTGCCTTCGTAGAGTGACTTCGAGAAAGCAAGAAGCCATGCCGATAAGGAAGGGAGACGCTGCGGGGGTCAAACGACTCATCTCTGTTGCCTTCCTGTCAAAGTGTCGCGCCTATGTGTAAAAAATCAAAACCGGGCGGCGGTCTAGCCTCTGGTACGAGAAGATTCCGGGTTGTGAAAGCTCTATTATCTGATAGATCACTCCCTGAGCTGACACACGAGGCACACCATGCTTCCTGTATCAAAGCTTCTCAAATCGTCTTGTTGTGAAGGCGTGTGCGCGTGTGTGTAGTGTGTATGGGTGTGTGTTGTGTGTGTGTGTGTATGTGTGTGATGTGTTAGTTGTTATGTGTGTGTATGTGTGTGTTATGTGTGTGTGTAGTGTTGTGTGTGTGTATGTGTTGAATGTGTGTGTGTGGTGAATGTGTGTGTATGTGTGTATGTGTGTGTGTGATGTTGTTATGTGTGTATGTGTGTGTATGTGTTATTGTTGATGGTGTGTATTGTGTGTGTATGTGTGTGTATGTGGTTGTATGTGTGTTTGTGTGTATGTGTGTGTATTTGTGTGATGTGTTGATGGTGTGTTGTGTGTGTGTTGTGATTGGTGTGTATGTGTGTGTGTGTTACTCCATTCATGGCGGCTGAATCATGACTACCACATAGCTGCTATCACATGTACTCGACACACAGTATGCCCATTCCTGAACGAGTCATCGATCCCGTTCAATGGGTCGAGTCCACTGCCTGTGCACTTAGACGTCATGGTGATGTCAAATTGCTACGAAGTTCTTACCCAAGATTGGGACCCTGCATTTCTTCAGGGCTGGCACTGGCCTTCCAATGACATTCGAACCACTCCGTACGGCACTCACCGGCTGCGACCCCTCCCCGCAGCCGCACGCACAGCCCGCACGGTGGCTGCCCTGTGCGTTGACCCACGCATCCTTTTGCTCTTGTGGGAGGAGGAGAGCTTGAAAGCACCGGAAGCTTGTGTTACTTGCAGGCAGCTTTAGGAAAAAACTGTAAAAACCCTACTAAGACTTTTAAAAGGTCACAGAGTCATAGAATTTTTTTTCTTTTTTCTTTTCTTTCTTTTCTTCTTTTTTTTTTTTTGAGACAGAGTCTCACTCTGTTGCCCAGGCTAGAGTGAGTGCCGTGGCATCAGCTCGCTCACAGCAACCTCAGACTCCTGCTCAAGCAATCTCTTGCCTCAGCCTCCCTTCTGAGACTGGGACACAGGCATGCGCCACCAATGCCCGCTCATTTTTCCTGATATATTAGTGGCCAATCAATTTCTTTCTATTTATGAGAGGATGGGTCTCCTCTCTGCCAGGCTGGTCTCGAACTCTGGAACTCAACGATCCTCCCGCCTCGCCTCCCAGAGTGCTAGATAACAGGCGGAGCCACCGCGCCCGGCCTCATAGTAACCTTATTAGCTGACGTACACACTGCAACTGCAGGGATAAAAGCAAAAGCTTTGGGTTGTCAGCTAAAGTCGACGCTCGGCTGAGCGCCTTCCGTATCCCGGCTGCCGGCTAAAGTCAACGCTGTGCCAGAGGGTTAAGTAGCCCTGCGCTATAATTTTGCACCCCAAGAGTGGCAACTATGGCTCTTATACGTGGCAAGGAAGGTGGCTCTGCTAAGAGAGCCACCACTACGGCCACCCAAGATGACATTTTGAGGCGGTGTGAACAATCTCAGAAAACACCACACTGTTCAGCATTTTCTGATCTCGTAGAGAACCACCTGCATTTTTCGACATACTTTCTTATATGTAAGTAAAGTAGTCCTACCCGAGCCCTGTGCAATGGCATCATTCCTGTGACGCCCCAAACCCACACCCGCCGCCACCACCATCAATCCAGGAAAATATGAGGAAAGTGAGGAAAAGTAAGGCTCAGACCAGGCGTCCTCAAAATCGGCCCGAGGCCACATGCGGGCAACCTAGCACATTACCCGGCCCGCCACCGGTGTTTTTGCCGCCGCTGCTGTCCTGCTGACAAGCCGACTCGTCCCGGGCACCACAGTGCGCACAGGGACAGTGGCCCCCTGTTTACAAAGTTTGAGGCCCCTGCGGGTTAGAGTATTGATGGGCCAGCCCAAGCTCACTAGAACGTAAAGAGGCCCAGCAGGGACAGCATCAAAATGTCATTTATTTGTCACTCCAAAGGATGGATAACAACCGTCATCCGGGGAGCGAGAAGCATTACCTGGGCTCCGTGTAAAGAGTGTCTGACGGTTGACCATGTCTGGTGGTCAGTTCCGGGTATGACGGAGACCACCTCAGAGAGACCAACCCCGGCAGCCCAATCTATTCTCCATGTGCTTTACCACTTCTCACGTGGGAGCCGATCCTCCCAGGTATCACGTGAAAGAGGGGAACCTACTAGAAACAGGGCCTCAAACCTACGGCCCGTGGGCCCACATGCCGGCCCGCCGAGGACATTTATCCGCCCCGCGTGTTTTGCGCCGCCGCTGCCTGTCTGCCACCGACCCCCCGGCCCCATGCGCACTCCCTCCAACTCGTAGGACAAGTGACCGGCCCCCGTATTACAAATGTGAGGGACCCTGTAACGACAACAGCAGCAGATGACATTTCGGGCCAAAGTCTGATTTCTTGGAGCTGGAGACAAGAATCCCTCCAGTGGGAATTGTGCTAACGAGAGTAAGCGCTGCATTTACACGGCCCTGTCGAGATGAGCGGAAAGGCACGGATCATAGCGAGTGAAGGAGATACAAAGTTCCCAGAGATCAGATTGTGCCCAGATTAAACCCCCAGCTATCCTGGTCAGTCCAAAAATGGCGCTCAGCCAGGAAAGTAGTCCTTAAGCCCCTGTTCCGTGCCTGTGCCCCAGCCCTGTGGGCAGCGGCCCTTTCCCAGGCGCTCTGCCGCGGCTCTGCGAGGGGAAAGGAAACTGCAGCAGGGAAGGAGGTGAGGACATCAGCTTCACTTTGGAAGCTGGCAATGCAGCTGCATTTAGCAGAGAAATTCCAATTCCTGCAATTAGCAGAGAAAAGGTGACTGCGCTTGTGGATCGCAGTAAGAAAACAAACAACCCTGAAGAAGAGCGGCCACACCTTGAGAGCGGAGAGCGGGACAACGAACTGGGGCGGCCCTTTCTTCCCGGCAGCTCCGAGTCAAAGCCAGCATGCTTAATAAAACCGGCCGTGCCCACGGCGACATGTGAGGATGAGAACAGAAAGAAGACCGGTGAAGGCAGAGGTCCCGCATAATTGGATCTTGAAATCCCAGAGGGAATGGCCCTCTGGAAGAGCGAGCGCTGTCATCAACAGAGAGAATTTCAGGCTGAATGGAGAGTTTTCCACCAGCCACGCAGTGAGAGAGTCATATAGAGAACGAAGAAGTCGCCAAAATAGAAACCAACCCTGCCGCTTTCTGGGTGGGTCTCTAAAGCTTTCTCAAGAAGACGGCAGATTCGAGACTCAGCCAAGCGCCCCCAAATCCTGCAGCTGTTACGATGACAACGTGACACCGTTGCAGCCTCAGCACAGACCAGACGTGGAAGTGGGTCCTTCACGAGGCTCCTCCAGGCCTGTCCTTCCCGGGCTCCGGCTGGCCCAGGCCCACAGTTCCTGGCGGCAGTTGGTGGCTCCGCCCTGCATGGCCGGCACGTCAGACTCAGCACGTGCAAAGCTGAATGCGTCAGTTTTCCCACGAAAGGAGATCTTGTTTGGACACTCCCGGCCCCTCTCTCTCTCTCTCGGTTACCCAGATGCAAAAGGCAGAAGCAGCCCTGGCCACCGTTCGTCCCCTTTGTACCCCGAGGTGAGCCAACTGTCAGATCCCATAGAGCTAGATCAGATCTCTTCCCTCCTTTTCCGTTCACCTTGAGTTTGCACCTGTTCAAGCTCCCTGCTGTTCTGCTGGGCCACTGCAGTGCTCACCTGCAGTTTCCTGATCTCTAATAACGGCCGCTTCCGATCCGTCCTTCCAAACTGTGCCCACATATCTCTCTCAGGGCCCACCCCCACCTTCAACGGCTAGCACTTCGCCCGGCACGCGGTGGGTATTCAGCTAACATTTTCTGGATGGATGGATGGATGGATGGATGGATGGACGGACGGACGGACGGACAGATAGATGGATGGACAATGTATTTATTCATCATTTAACACTGGCCTGACCTCGAGCTGGGTAGCAAAGACAAAGCAGGAAACAAAGCTCCTTCTGACAAAACACTCCCCTGCTCACTAGCCAGTTAATATAAATGGGCTATTCTAGCATTCCAGCCCTTCTAACACCTCACCTTTAGCCAAGGGCTTCTAACCTCGGCACTAGTGACATTTTGAGCCAGACAACTGCAGCGCTGTGCATTGTAGTGTGTTGAGCAAACGTGACTGGCGTGTACACACTTCATGCTAGTAGCACATGCGTCCATCCCAGTTGTGACAAGCATAAATACCTCCAGACACTGTCCCCATGGGGTAAAATAAAAAAAAAAAAATCACCCAGTTGAGAACTACCCGTCTATGGCTGGGTTCAATTTATACCTGCTGTCCCGGGGAAATTATTAATAGCATTCTCCTTTCACTTTCACATGTGCCCCAGTTGGGAAGACAAACTATATGGTTTCCCTACTTGCATCTCCTGAGACAGCAGAACTTTGCTCTGTTCTCACGCAGATTCAGAGGAAAGAGAGTCGTAGGAGGCTCTCAGCTTCCAAGCAGCAGGTTTCTACGGTGAATGGATCTTCTCTTTAAAGAATCTAATTCTCTCTTCTTCCTTCAGCATATACAGTTCTGGGGAGGAAGACCGGCCAGACTGTTCTGCAGGGGAAATGTGAAGGGCATAAGCTCTCCTCCTCGCCGCTCAAAAAAAGATTCACCTGAATGTTGATCGCTTTCCTCAAAAGTTGTATGTTGCATACATACTCTTCCATGTCATGCTAACCCCAGATGCCTGAAAAAAAAAGTTCAAAGCACTCAAGTCCAGACACCCCACATCTTTTCTGGCCATGAAACAATTTTGTTCCACACAGGAATGCAAAGGGCTCATGCTGTACTCATGAAATGCCAAGGCCCCTGGGTGAGAAGTTCAGAAGGTTTGGAACTGATCTGCAGTTAGACCAGCGTGGTGGTTCTCAAGCTTTGCTGTGTTTTCGGGAGCCCCGGAGCTGCCTGCTGAGCCTCACTCTCAGAGGGTCAGATTCAGGAGGTCTGGGGTGAGTGGGGCCCCCATAATTTGCATTTCCAAGTTCCCAGGTGATGCTGATGTTGCTGGTCCAAGAATCTAGAAGGCGCCAGCTGCTCCCTACCTATTCCGTCAGACTGCAGCATATATCATTTGGGCTGAGAAGGAGGGAGGAAGGTCAGGGAGACTTCACCGGACTGCTTGCTCGGGTGTTTGTTTTTCAGAAAAGAGCTCCACTTCCGCCCATGCTGGAACAGGCAGACCTCACTCCCTGCCGTTCTCCCCTTTGCAGATGAAAGCTCTTCTCTGGGCTCCGGCTCCATTCTTTCCGGCACTCTCTTTCAGTTCATCGGCTGCTAGTCAGCACCCTCAATCATTCTCCAACCCCCACAAGACAGGCGGCTGTTTTAGAAGCAAAACCAACCAGAAAATCCGAGAGATTCCAGAAGCATCTCCTATTTTGGGAAGTGCTTTCCTTTTTTTCTTTGACTCTGGTCTCTTTCATTGGAAGGAAGCCCTCATGGGCGTGGTCCATCCCGGGTGCATCTTTTCAGCCTCCTATAGACACAGGAGTTGTGTAGGGGACGTCCCTGGGTCAGATTGGCCGAGACCCAAAGTCAGCAGAACGGGAGCCCGTTGCTTGCTCCCACAATTAGCAGGACGTGACCTGTTGACCAGCAGAGAGAACGGTTCCTCCAGACAAAAGGCCAAGGACCTGTGGTTTGCATGCGTGCCAAGGTTGTCTGCTGTCCTGCACACAGGACCAGACGTTAAAGGACGGCGATGTGTGCGTCCCCCCTTCTCACGAGCTGTCTCTTTGCATGCAAGCCGAGGCATCTTGTTATCCACACGCGGCAGGAGACATTGAAACACAGGATGCAAACATCTTCCTCTCTCGTGCTATGCAAGCAAGCCAGGCGTCTGGATACGCACAAATGGTATCAGGAGTCAAAGGGCATCTCTGGTGCTACATCTAGAGGGACAGGAGCTATTGACCCATGGGAAGCCACATATCAAAAAGTAGCTGAGAAAAATAGCTGCGGGACACTTGCCAAATTGAACAGTATAAAAATAAAACGACCGGTGCTTTGAGCGCTGCAGCCTTGCACCGTCTTTTGTGCCTGTGTGTTTTTTGTGTCTTTCTGTGCGTCCATCCCCCGTCCCGCAGCTGGGCCTGACAGAGGTGCATCTGGTTTATTCCTTCGCATCTGTTCCAAGTCGTGAGGAGGAGGATGCCATGCTCCAACACCGACAACCAAGTCGGACTTGCTCCCAGGGAGCAACAACTCAGACAATGATTTAGAACAGGGGTCCTCAGACTTTGTAAACAGGAGGCCAGTTCACTGTCCCTCAGACCGTTGGAGAGTGCGCACTGTGGGCCCAGGACGAGTCGGCTGCTAAGCAGGACAAGCAGTGGCGGCAAAAACACCTGGCAGGCTGGATAAATGTCCTCGTCGGGCTGCGTGTGGCCTGTGGGCTGTAGTTTGAGGACACCTGATTTAGGATGTTTCCTTTCTTCTGTCATTGTCACCGAGGCCCAGGGAAGAGCAATCTGCATTCCCTTTGACCTCAGAGACAACCGCTGGAAGTGTCAGCTGTCCCCCCTTGACTACCCTTCACTGTTGACTGTTAAGTTTCTGCCTCCCAGGGGGCAGGGGGACATGGTCCCAGTGGCCTTCTCATCCCCACCTGGGTACGTGGGAGGGGTGTGGCCAGGGCATCCTCGCCGGAGTCGTGAAGACCCTTGTCAGAAACCAGGGCTCTTCCCAGGGGGTCTATCATCTTTGTTTAGGGAACAAGGAAAATGCCCTGCGATTTGCAATCCCTCCTGTGCAGTGACAGGGAAGCCTTTAAAATAGCTGCTTATATTTTTGTGATATTAGGAGCAGCCAGGTGGCTTTGCTTGCTTTCAACTTTTAGGTAAATAAAATTTGTCTTTTATTTTTTGTAATTAAAAAAAAATGTATTCCAGAGACAGTACTCATGACCCCACTTAAAATTTTTGGGGACCAACCAATGGTTTTGCAAGAGATGGGGACCGGTTTTGGAATTATTCTATTGTGGAAATATGGCTTTTAATGTGGATTTGTATGTCATTCATGGGTCACAGTCATATGGGTTCATATGTCATCCATGGGTCACAGTCATATGGGTTCATATGTCATCCATGGGTCACAGTCATATGGGTTCATATGTCATCCATGGGTCATAGTCATATGAATTCATATGTCATCAATGGGTCATAGTCATATGGGTTCATATGTCATCCATGGGTCACAGTCATATGGGTTCATATGTCATCATGGGTCACAGTCATATGGGTTCATATAGACAGAGTCTCACTCTGTTGCCCAGGCAGAGTGAGTGCCGTGGCATCAGCCTCGCTCACAGCAACCTCAACTCCTGGGCTCAAGCAATCCTCTTGCCTCCCTCCCTTCTGAGTAGCTGGGACTACAGGCATGCGCCACCATGCCCGGCTCATTTTTCTGTATATATAGTGGCCAATCAATTCTTTCTATTTATGAGAGGATGGGTCTCGCTCTTGCTCAGGCTGTCTCGAACTCTGGAACTCAAGCATCCCCCGCCTCGGCCTCCCAGAGTGCTAGAGACACAGGCGGAGCACCGCGCCCGGCCCTCATAGTAACTTATTAGCTACTACACACGGAACTGCAGGGATAAAGCAAAAGCTTTGGGTGTCGAGCAAAGCGACCGCTCGGCTGAGCGCCTTCCGTATCCCGGCCTGCGTAAAGTCAACGGCGTGGCGTGCGCAGAGCGTTAAAGTAGCCCTGCCGCTATAATTTTTTTTTTTTTTTTTTGCACCCCAAGAGTGGCAAACCTATGCAGTCTTATAGTGGCAAGGTAAGTGGGTGCTCTGCTAAGAGAGCCACCACTACGGCCACCCAAGATGATCATTTTAGGGCCCGGTGGAACAATCTCAGAAAACACAACACACTGTTTAGCATTTTCTGATCTTCGTAAGAACCACCTGCATTTTTCGACAACTTTCTATATGTTAACTAAAGTAGTCGCTACCGGCAGCCCTGTGCAATGGCATCATTCCTTGACGCCCAAACCCACACCGCCGACCACCTCAATCCAGAAAATATGAGGAAAGTCTGAGGAAAGTAGGCTCAGAACCAGGCGTCCTCAAAAGTGGCCCGGAGGGCCACAGCGGGCAACCTAGCACATTACCGGCCCGCCAACCGGTGTTTTGCCGGGCCCGCTGCTGCCTGCTACAAGCCGACTCGTCCCGGGCAACCACAGGGTGCGCACCAGGGACATGTGGCCCCCCCTGTTTACAAAGTTTGAGGGCCCCTGGGGTAGAGTATGAGTGGGCCAGCCCAAGCTCACCTAGTAACGAAAGAGCCCAGCAGGGGACAGCCATCAAAATGTCATTTATTTGTCCCAACTCCCAAAGGATGGATAACAACCGCATCCCCGGGGAGCGAGAAGCATTACCCCTGGGCTCCCGTCTGTAAAGAGTGTCTGACGGTTACCATGCTGGTGGTCAGTCCGGGAACGAACCCCTCAGAAGACCAACCCCGGCAAGCCCAATCTATTCTCCATGTGCTTTACCACTTCTCACGTGGGAGCCGATCCTCCCAGCGTACTCACGTGAAAGAGGGGAACCTACTAGAAACAGGCGCCTCAAACTACGGCCGTGGGCCCCCACAATGCGGCCCGCCGAGGACATTTATCCGCCCCGGTTTTTTGCGCCGCGCGTCCTGCTGCCCCGACCCCCGGCCCCATGCGCCACCCTCCAAACGTCGAGACAAGTGACCGGCCCCCCGCTGATTACAAATGTGAGGGACCCCTGTAACACAACAGCAGCAGATGACATTTCGGGCCAAAGTCTGATTTCTTGGAGCTGCGAGACAAGAATCCCCCATGGGATGTGCTAACGGAGAGTAAGCGCTGCATTTACACGGCCGTGAGAGTGAGCCGAAGGCACGGATCATAGCGAGTGATAGGAGACAAATTCCCCAGAGCATCAGATTGTGCCCAGATAAAACCCCCAGCAATCCTGGATCAGGCTCACAAAAATGCGCTCTAGCCAGGAAAGTACGTCCTTAAAGCCGCCTGTTCCGTGCCAGGTGGGTGCCCCAGCCCTGTGGGCTAGCGGCCCTTTCCCCAGGCCTCTGCGCGGCTCTGCGAGGGGAAAGGAACTGCAGCAGTGGAAGGAGGTGAGGACATCAGCTTCACTTGGAAGCTGGCATGCAGCCAGTTAGCAGTAGAATTCCCAAATCGCGGCAATTAGCAGAGAAAAGGTGATCTGGCGCTTGGTGGATCGCAGGAAGAAAACAAACAACGCCTGAAGAAGAGGCGGCCACGACCTTGAGAGCGGAGAGCGGGACAACGAACTGGGGCGGCCCCCTTCCTTCCCTGGCAGCCCGAGTCAAGCCAGGCATGCCTTAATAAAGACCCGGCCGTGCCCACGGCGACATGTGAAGGATGAGACAAAAGAAATCCCGGTGAAGGCAGAGGTCCACGCATAATTGGATCGTTGAAAATCCCAGAGGGAGATGGCCCGTCTGGAAGAGCGACCTGTCATCACAGAGAGAATTCAGGGCCTGGAATGGAGAGTTTCCACCAAGCCACGCAGTGAGAGAGTCATATAGGAGGAACGAAAGAAGTCGCCAAAATAGATAACCGCAACCCTGCCGCTTTCTGGGTGGGTC